CGGTTCCATATGTTGTAACCCTTTCAAGGTAGATGAATGTGAAGACAATGACTTTTTCTGTTGCATGGATTATAGCAATGAGCGTCGCGTATTTTATGAGTGATCATCCACTTTTAAGTACTTTTTTAACTTTCTTTTTAGAAAGCAAAGCCCACAAGAGAATGCTTTAGGGTCCATTTGGCAAGGCTTTTTTAAATTCGAAAGTTGCTCGTGAACTTATTTGAATAATTTTCTAAAAGCATTTTGTTTGATTAGAAAAGCTTTACATGAAGTCGGCTACAAGAAGTAGAGCAAAAGTAGAAATCCAATCAAATGAGCTATCATAACTAAGCTGGGAACTAACAAACTGGAATTTTTGTGTCACTTAAAGTATGAGATGAGAATTGTTGTTTGAAAAGAAAAATATGACTGAAGTTTAAATTCTCATTTAATTTGAAAAAATCGAGTAATACGTATGATCATTTCTTATAATTTTCTTTTAAGTAAAAAAAATCACGTATAAGTAAAATAAAAATAAAAATTTACTTATTCAAGTTAAAAAAATAACATACAAGTAAAGAAATAACTTTTAAATAAAAAAATCACTTTTAAGAAAAAATACACTAATAAGTAAAAAAATTTGACTTATTAAGTAAGATATTGCTTATAACTAAGTAATCCACTTATACATAATAAAATTACTTATGAGTAAACTTATGAATAAGAAAAGTTAATTATCAACAAATATATTATAACAATTTTTTTTTCCTTTTTAATACTTGAAATTCTTTCAAATACAGTGCAACAACAAATGTCTCAATAGAAAAAATCACCCTAACCTCATCAGTCATATATCATTTCTCACTTATCCTATATGATGTACTAATATTTCACGTGGTATTTTACCCTTAGCATGTTTTGCTATATGATAGCTCGTTTGAGAACTTTAATATTGAAATCTGACCATTCATTTGAGCTTCGAGATAAATTGAATTGAGTGCTTAAACTATCAAACTCATTAAGAGCCTGTTTGGGAGTGATTTTGAGAATTGATTTTTTGATTGTTAGGAAAAAAGTGGGGTCCACCTGTAAGAGAAGAACTCAAATATGACGGTTGGAATAGTAAAATAACGGTCAAAAAATTAATTTTTTGGATGAAAAAATCGGGCCCAAAGTTTAACGCAAGTCTCTACATATTTATTAATTAAATTCATTTTAATGCAAAGTGAAGATAGTGCATTGAGGATGAATACCGAAAATGTAATTGACGAGAGTGGCTAGCAATATGATTCTGTTGAGTCAGATAGTGGGTAGAATTCTATCAAAACCCAGTAAAAATCTTGAGATGGGAGGAAGGGAATCGCTACTTCGGTTGCAAAGTTACAGAATTCATCTTCAGAGGATGTGGCCGAGCGCTTCAACATTGATGCTGCACAGGCTCAGAGGATCCTTCAGTTTGTAGCAGTGCCTCCCGAGGATAGTAAAACGAACAAAAACATCTAACGTGACCATAGCGTTCATAGTCGAGTTCGATCTGCTAATTGAGTCTTTTGTACTATGAATAATGCCCTGTGAATAATCCAACAATCAAATAATATGACACTTGCCACACTTCTCTACGAGGGGCTCTATTGAGATGAGCAAAAGAATATGAAACCAAAAAGAACTAGGTGACGAGAGGCCCCCAAAAAAATGGTTAAATTCAATTTAAAACCGACTCTAACCAATCAGACATGGACTCAAATGCAACAAATGTTACAGCACCAGCAGGTGCAGCTTTGACAATTGATGGGACAATGCCCTTATAAAGTCCGGCCCAGCCTTCCGTGAGCAAAATTTGTCGGAGGGAATCATACATATTTTTGTACGCGTGATGCTCTACACGAGCTCCATATCTTGGATCCCTTTGTAGACCTTCAATCTGCACATTGAATTACCAGATAACCTAAACTTGCTTGTGTCGTTCTCTCTTTAACAACAGATAGCTGAGAACCCAAAAGTTAATTTGCTCAATAGTATAATTTGAGTTGTAGGGTTTCATTAAGCCACATTCGACGTAGGTGAACTTAAATGTAGGATATATGAGCCTCTTGTTGATATATAACCTGAGAATTGTATCATTCACAGCGTAGATTCTCTCTTATACTTCTTATTCCATCCTCTCATTTCTAGCTTCATCTCTCTCTTATTCTACGTTCTCTCCCGTTCCGAATCTCTCTGTACAAAATCAACTCAGAAGACATGCTGATCTAGCTATAACATCTCTATCATGCATAGAATTGGAAACCAAATGCTCTTATTCAGTTGAGAAAGGTTGAAATTTTACCTGATACCTCTTTTTGACCACATCTAACGGATGACAGACTGCTTTAGCACTCGTCCCGGCAGCTAATCCACAAAGAAAGAGCTGGAAGCTTGAAAGGGTGTAATCAGTTCGGCTACCATCCGAAGACCT